TGGGGCGGCTTCACCTCCAGGTGTATCTTGATCCAGTGGAGGGCTCCCTCTACAGTAGCTCAAGCTACAAAACAGTAATCGCTTACTGTGATTACATGGCTTTAGATGCTGAAGAGAAGATGGTGAACAAACATGGAGCTCAGTCTACTGGGGAAAGCACATTAAAAATTGTATGTTCAAAACCATTGCAGGGGTGTTACAGGAGCAGAGGCATGCACCCAGTTTAGAATCCATCTCTAAAGAGGGAACATGAAGCTGACGTGCCCAAGGATGAGAAATCAACTGCAGGACCATAGGGTTCTTTCTAGCTGGTCTTTCCAATGCTGGCGATGTAACTCTCATAAATGACCGGCTGGGCCTATGCGAATACAGTGCTGGGGCCCTGGAGGTGCTGTTGCGGTGGGTTCAAACTCAACAGTCCCTCCGAGGGAGATGAAGCAGGCCTGCTCCTGTAAAGATCGGCAGCCTCAGAAACTCGGCGAGGTCAGAAGTAAGGCGGCTGTGAGTCAGAGTTGACGCGATGGCAGTGGGGCGGGTTTAGACGTACCCAGGGGATTGGTCGGTTTTGCTATCCTGCCAGGCTTCTAAGGGTTGAGTGGGATCTCACTGTCATCAGAAATGAAGCCCAGCAGCCACAGGACACATCCTCTGGACTTGAGGTCCCGACACTGAAAACCCCCCAGACCAGGAGACGAAGAGGTGGAACGAGGAAGGACAAGGCAGCACCAGTACAAATGTTGAATAAATTTTGCGTGTCATTTTATAATAAGAGCCGACTTTTTGTGCAAACAATGCTAGCCTTCTTTCAAGCTTTCAGAGCATAGCTACTTAAGAACTTACACAACTTACCTGCACAAGTCCCTCCAGTGATCTATTCCGCCTGTCTTTACAACACGTGCACAGCTTTAACAAATTAAAGCCCAGCAGAAAGGTTGAGCCCTTGGTATCGGCTCCCTCCACCACCACCCCTCGTGACCTCCGGATAAATGATTGTTTTCATATCTTACACTGACCACTGTCTCCTTTCACCCATGTTTCTGTTGTTCATCCCCCTGCAGGGCAGAGATTATGCACTGATCATTGCGATCAGCTCCCTCTTCCTCCCCCACCTTCCCCCTACCCCCTGGTATCACTACTCCCACTTCTGTTCTTGAGCAGTTTATCTGACCTGGATACCATGTGTCATGAGCTCTTATCTGTACCACTGTACATGCTCCGGTCTAGCTACAACTGAAAGGCAGGACTGGGGACATGATAGTGGGGGGTGAGGAAGCCTCAAGGAACCAGAGAAATAGTGTGTTTCATTGGCTGACTCATCCCTTCCTTGTGACCCTTCTGTGAGGAGATGTCCTATTGTCTACAGATTTGCTTTTGGGTCTCTGCTCTGACCCTCCTTATTCTCAACAGTGTGTTTTGTGTCTTCTGGTACCTGTTACCTGATTCTTCGGTCAACGCCTCATGGTGTCATGGATGCTGTGATTCTTATACAGGCTTGCTTCTCTGCTAGATGGCTACTTGCTTAACTTCAAGCCTTTAAGACCCCAGCTGCTGTATCTTTTGATAGCCAGGTACCATCAGCTTTCTTCACCACATTTGTTTAGGCACTCATTTTGTCTTCAGCAATTGTGCTGAGAGAGTGAGCATCACAGATGTCAGGTTGTTAGAACAAAGTGTTCTTGTGTTCAGGGAGGGCTTGAGCAGAGGCCCAAATTTCATCCACTCCTCAATGTATTGCCATATAAATATATGTACATAGGCTAATACCTCTATTTTTATGAATTAATATATTTACATAAGTGTACACCTGTTTATACCTCTATCCATAGCTTTGCTTTCTAGATCCTTCCTCTGTTTCCTTTCACCTTCTTCCTGCCCCACCATCACCTCACCCTTATTCTGCCTCTTAGTAATTACTCTCAGCTAGATTGCTGTTGCTCCAACACCACCGGAATCAGTACATTCTCCTCGTTGTTGCTTTTAATTCCCTAGTTGTTCCATCTATGGCGCTGTTTGCTCACTACTCCTATCCTCTGCCTCCTCCTGTTGTTTAAAAAAAACAAAAATCATGATTAAGAACTTAATATTGGGTGACAAACCACATCCACATTGTCAAATAGTTTCAAAGTTAAACACATTTTAAGATCTATCAGTATTTACATTTCATACATTTCTGAAGATACCGTTATACCAAACCAGCATTATCTGGTTGATTTCAACTCATAGCATCCCTATAAATGGGTTCTGAGACTGCAAATCTTTGTAGCAGGGGGAATGGTAGTTTTGAACGGCTGGAGGGCTTTTGTTGTTGTTTGTTTGTTTTCACAGCTGGAGGTTTTTTAATGGCCAACCACTTGGTTATCAGCCCACAATACTGCCAGGGCTCCTTGTCCACAGTCACCAAGTCCCTATAGGTCAGTGTGTCAGTCCGGGTAGACTAGAGAAACAAATTCATAGACACTCATATGTGTATAAGAAAGAGCTTTATATAAAAGAGCAATTGCATATTGAGAAAACATGCCAGTGCAGTTCAGATCAAGTCCCTAAGTCCGATATTAGCCCATTTGCCCAATATTAGTCCCTAAATTCCTCTTTAGACACACGCAGCACATGCAATGATGCCAGATGCAGGCAGATCACAGGCCAGTGTGTAGAAAGTCTTGTGGATCCAGTGGCAGTGGAGGCATGTCAACGCTGGTGCAGGTCTCCATGCGTCTCCTCCAGCTCTCTTGAGTATCTCAACTGCCAGAAAGGAAAGGCAGAAGGAGTAGGTCTGGCTTCCAGTGAATTATGGATCTCCACAGCACCTTCAAATGAGGCCATCAAGTTGTGACCTGATTGACAGACTAGACTCCACTCAAGTTGACAGGCGATCATGTAACCACCACAGGCAGAGTAGAACGGTTCCTTAGGGTTTCCAAGACTATAAATGTTTGCAGAACAGCCTCATTTTTTCTCCACAGAGCAGCAGGTGTGTCTGAAGCCCTGACCTTGAGGTTAGCAACTCAACGCTTATCCCATAGGATCACCAGGGCTCCTCCAGGGCTTCTTAGAAAGTTTATATTCTCTTCGTGAAACAAAAGAGGGAACTGCATCTAATTGTGATGGAATAAAATTTAGTAATGGAAATTACTAAATTAAGGTGGTCAATTTTAAGAGGTGCAGATACCCTCTCCTATGAGAGATCAGAAACCTGACGAGAGACAGGGGCTCTCATGCCTACAGGGAAAGATGTAAAGTGGCACTTGGGGTTATCTTTCTGGAAAGAAAGTTAGCCATGAAGATGCTTAAGAGGCTCAAACATTCCACTTTAACCCAAGAATTTCCCCAAGGGGGGCAGGGATCAAAGATTTGTTCCAAGATTTATGAATAAGAATTTTCATTCGCGGTTATTTGTGCTATCAATATAAACAATTTAACTATCCCACCTGGACGACATAACTAAATGATGAGGCAGCCTCCAGATGACGCCGTATTGAAATGAAGTTTTTAAAGAACAGTAGTGACTTGTGCTCATGATAAGATAGCGTTTTAAGAGGATGAACAAATAAACAATTACAATATAATTAGATAATACTTTGACAAAACAGCGTGGGAGCAACTGGGGGTGGGGAAAACGGGTTCCCAGAAATACTGGCATTTGAGATTGCTCTTAAAGAATACACAGGAGTTTCCAGGAGGAAGGGAAAGAAAGCACCAAGCCGAGACTGCTGGATTCTGAAAAAATAACTAGGCAGGTGGTATGTCCCTTAAGAAGGGTTTGCAGGAGTCATCTCTCTGTTCCGGCCGCGGTCTGCGGGCTCCTTCGCTTTCTCTGGTTGAGAACTTCACACGGGAGTGGGTGGTGGGTGGTGGGTGGTGGGTGGTACCCCGGTGGGAGGGCTAGAAACACACATACCCAGACGTCCTGGGGCCACTGGTGCTCCGTCCCTGCGCTCTGGGCTCACCGGAGCGAAGTAAGTCCCAGGGCCATCGAGGGCTCACCGCCAGGCCTGCCTCTGGCGCCCAAAGAAGCCAAGCACGAGGCAGCCCTCGGCCCGGCCTGGCGCATGCGCAGTCGGACGGCCTAAGCGAAGGTTCACGTCCAAGTGAAATAAGTCCCGGAGTTACGGGCGGTCTCACCTCTCCGCGCACATGCGCAGTTGGACGGCCTAATAAGTCCTGGGCTAGGCGAGCTCCCGTCTCCGCGCGCACATGCGCAGTTGCGCAGGCTGTGCGACGTTTCACACCCTCATGGGGAGAGCGCGTTTGAGGCTGCCTGGAACCACTCCCATGTAAAAGTCAGCGGCCCTGTGGCTACAGCGCCCCAAAAGGAAGCTGGGGAATTAGAGCAGCCCTTCTGAGCTGGTTACCTTGGTTCTCTTGGGCGGCAGGCTTTCCAAGCCACTCCTGCACTCTGGGGTATGGCTCGTAGGCCCGGGACTTCTTTTCCACTTCCTGTTCAGCCCGGAAGTCATCCCTCAGCTCTTCCGGCTGCCTGCCCGAGAAAGATGGGAAGCCCATAGTTTGAGAACAGGAGGCTAGCGGGGAAAAGAAAGTTTCCTGCCCTAGCTGCAAGCACGGCCCTCTGGCCTGACTTGTGCACTTGACTTTGCTTCGGCAGCTCAGGATTTGGCCTGAATTGTTTCTCTCTTGGTCATCGCGGAGCTTCCAGGTTCCTGGCCCATTCTGTTCAGGAGCTGGACCACCCTAGTCTTTTTCACCTATCAGTGAGTTTGGACGATCCCCGGACTGTTTACTTGCGGCAGTAAGAGCTCTGGACAAAATCAGCACCTTTCCATCACTTAGCCCTTCCCTGGCATCTTCCACCTCTAAGAGAGAGGGCATCCGGAAGTCTGTGTAGCTGAAGGACGCTGAGAAGCTTGAGGGGAGGAAACTTGCGTTTGAATGCCTTCTGAAGGCCCCTTGGCTCACATTGTCTTATACTTTCTTTCCCCTTTGTGGCCCATGGTGAGGTGGAGTGCCGTGTCGTTGAAAGCTCATTTCTTCACAGCCTCACCTGTGCAAGTTCTCACGCGTCCTGCTTCTGCTCTGGCCCAGAGCATGACCCATTTGGATGAAGCAGCACGTCGTCTGTCAAAAACTGGGAAGAGCCTCTACGCAGTGCTGGAGCTTCAGAAGGGTGCCTCTCCTGAGGACGTGAAAAAGTCCTACAGGTTCAAACCTCAGCCCCGTAGCCAATGCCAGTATTTTCCCCTTAAGCCCTTTGCTTTCTTCCTTAATCCACTTCTAAATCCCCAAGCCTTCACTTTGGGACCAGGTAGGGTCCACATCCTTTTCTGAGTGGCCTGGGAAAGAATGTAGGCTTTGGGTGCTTGCTCCAATCCTTGGTCCTGCGTCACATACCTTCCTTGTGTACTGTCTAGAGGCCTGTCCCTACAGTTCACCCTAACCCTCCCTCTCTCGCCACCCCCACCCCCACCCCCACCATTCTTTATGGGTGTTGCCTGGGTAGGAAACTGGCCTTGCAGTATCATCCAGACAAGAATCCAGGAGATGCTCAAGCTGCAGAAATATTCAAAGAGATCAACACGGCCCACGCTATACTGAGTGACCCTAATAAGCGGAAAATCTATGACCAGCACGGCTCATTGGGAATCTATTTATATGATCACTTTGGCGAAGAAGGCGTCAGATACTATTTTGTAATAAATAGTTGTTGGTTCAAGGTACACAATTCTTCCTAGTCCCTTAAGAAGGAGGGCCAGTTTAACCCTCCTCCCGTAGTACAAATGCATCTGTTGTCTCATTTTCTGGGTGCTAGGAGAATGCGGGGTGGGGAATTTCAGTGTTGATACATCAGGGAGTGCTGGGCGGAGACCATCCTCTCTCCTGCCTTGCAGACTCTTGTCCTCCTATGCTGCCTGCTTACTTGTTGTTTCTGCTGCTGCTGCTGCTGTTTTTGCTGTGGGGCCCTGATGCCACCATCTGATGAGACGGTAAAGAGAAGATATCAACAAAATGTCCAGACACAGCCTTCCAGATCAGGTGAGAACAACCGACAGGGGAGAAGGAAGACCCCGAGGAGCCCTGGTGGGAGAGGATGCCTAGAAAGGGCGGAAGCTGAAATCAGGCTAGCGCCTGCTACTTACTATATTTACTCAAAAGGAAAAAGTGTTTGAAATGATGTCTACACCAGAGTAGTTGGATCTTAATCTGTGGGTTGACGGATGTTCACACACATTGCCACCTAGTGATACTAGTGAGTAACTGCAGGGTCATGGCGTAGTCTCTTCCGAACGCTCGCTCACTCATTCTTACTCACGGCGACCCTACAGGACAGAGTAGAGCTTACCCACCCACCCCTCTTTGAATTTCGGAGACCTTAGATCTTTACGGGAGCAGACAGCTTCATTCCCCACCCCCAGGGGAGACACTAGTAAGTCTGGACTGCTTCCCTGGCGGTGCCACGTCGGATCCTGGTAGGACAGGGTAGAACTGCCCCTGTGGGTTTCTGAGGCTCTAGATCTTCCCAGAGCAGAAAGCCTCCCCTTTCTCCTATGGGGCAGGAGACAGTTCGCCTGGCTGTTAGCAGCCCAACGCACGTAACCTACTGTGTAACCCACGATGCCACCAGGGCCCCTTGATGGTCTCACCAGCAGACTAAAAGAGGGTTACTAAGTGTGATATCATTGCTCATTTGGTTTCTTTTTGTTTAAATGTTATCTCAGCCACGCCAAGTAATTTTGGAAGAGAAGAAGATTCTGACAGCAGATAGAGAGGAAGGTACGAGAAGGGAAAGGCAGCAACGAAAGGATAAGAGAGGAACGTTGACTCACTTCACAGAAGGGATGACGGGAAGGTTGTCCGCAGTAGTACTGACAACAAGTGGTAACATTCTTATTCGTAAGGCGCCTGCTTTCAATTCAGAGTGGCCGTCCCTTGTGGTTAGTAAGATGCCGGCATCTTCTACCCAGTGAGGGTGGCTTGTCTGCCCGTTCGGCTGCGAGAGAGAAGCAAATAACCTTGTTCCGACTTGAAACCTGATTAGACCCTTCTTATAAGAACCCCAACTCTGCAAGCTTCCATGTTGTCCAGCCCTGGGACGACGTCACCTCTGCTCTCCTGCGTCCCACCCTACACAGCCACTCAACTACTCTTCTCTGTAACTCCAGCACCAGCTTCAGTATGTCAGAGAGCAGCCCTTCCAGCCTGCCCTTACGAGGTGCCAGGCAGTGGTGAGGAGGACTTCTCCCTGGGTCTCCCTTGGCATTCGAGCCAACATCCGCTAGTTAGAGTCCCCGAGCCATTTGTGATATCTCTGCCAACACCCTGACGACCAGGCAAGGCGGATCCCATGATTGCAGCTGCCGGCGGTCTCCGTTGGCCCTCCTTTCTTTACAACTCTGGACCCAGAGCTTCTCATGTCAGCCTCAGCCTGAAGCTGCTACACCTTCTGGCCCTGGTCTGATCGTCTTCTGGTGCCCACGCCCCTGGCATTGCCAGCCCCATTTCATGCCACTATGGGGAAGCTCAGAAATGTAAGTGTGTTTATTTATACTCAGGAGTGGTCATCTCTCTTTTCTTCCCAGACGTCAGCTGCCAGCATGATGGCCATTCACCTGGGTCCTGAGGATTGATGGGAGTTCCCAGTGCCTGTCTGCTTCCCCCATTTGTACTGCATGCTGTGTAGGCTGATCGTCTCGCATGAGACACATCATAGGGGAAGGCCTTTACTGACCCTTTCCCCACACATGCCACCTCCTGCCTGCTGGGTATTCCTGCCACGCCATTTAGTCCCCATCCACCCAGGGCCAGAGCCTAGTAACTCCTCAAACTCCTCTTCCCTGGTGGAGAGAAGGGCTAAGATCTATCAGTAAATAAAGAGTCTTTGTCCACTTCCAGTGCTTATGTTGGGATGGGAGTAAGGGAACACATTATGCCTGGGATAGAGGGGTGAAAACAACCAGTAGGAGAAAAAGGTGGGGGCCAGCGCTCAGAGCTGGGACCAGTCTGGCTTGTGGGACAGAGTCCAGAGCAACTGTGGGGCTGGGACAGACGCTTCCCGGAGCCCTGTGATCACCTTGTCAGTGCTCTAAAAATTTCCCTGGAGCCTGATTCCCTTGGTACCAAAATAGGTCCCTGGCATTCAGGCCCTTCCTGTCCAGCTGAACTTCCCAGTTAAAGGGTCTCAACAGTTCCAGGGGTACACTCACGGACCAGAATCTTACCCTGTCACCGGAACGTTGGTGTAAGGCAGTTCCAGGCCCCGGGACAGCCCCCACCTCTACCCTTTGGGGCCCCTTTCCCAGGACAAGGACAGAAAGGAGCCAGCAGTGTGACACAAGGGCACCGCGTCCTCCCAGCCTCTGATGGCCCTGTTCTGAGTCACAGGGTCTCCAGGAGGGCGGCCAGGGACACAGCCTGTGAAGGAGGAGGAAAGGGCCACTGACTGACCATCGGTAGGTCCAGTCCCCCACCCTCAGGTTGATTGAGGATCTGGGGTCTCTGCCCCGGGGAAGAAGAGCCTGCTAAGGGGAAGCCAAGGAGAGACGCCTGCCCCACCTTTCCCCACCCACCGTGAGTGAGTCAGGGTCACTCACTCAGTGACAGCTGGAGCTCGCCTTACATGAGCTAAATCGGGACTTGGAGTGACTTGCCTCCCTACCCCCACGTTAAAGTTAATCTCCCTGGAACCAGGGACACACAGTGCTGCCCCCAGGAGTGAGCTAGGGAGAGTGGCTTGGGAACAAAGGAGACGTTCCCCAGGGACAGAGCAGGCAGCAAGAGATAGAGCTAAGTGCGCCTGGCTGGGCACAGGGGTGAGAGTTGAGCGGACCGGAGGCGTTGTGTCTTGTGGGGGACAGCGATCAAAGGCAAGTTGTTAGAGGAAAGGACAGGAAGGGGACACCACTGCAGAGCTATTTCAAGAGGGAGCCTCAGAAGGCAGCCGGAGGGTCTAAAGTCCAGCGAGGAAGGGCCCAGCGGCTGTGAGGCACGGCCACTGAGGGGATGAACTTCACCGTGGGCTTCAAGCCGCTGCTAGGGGATGCACACAGCATGGACAACCTGGAGAAGCAGCTCATCTGCCCCATCTGCCTGGAGATGTTCTCCAAGCCCGTGGTGATCCTGCCCTGCCAGCACAACCTGTGCCGCAAGTGCGCCAA